TCCTTGTCTCAATTGTTGTTTTCTAGTCCTTCCAATATTGCAATGAAAAATACATAAAGAGCCCTGGGAAGCAGGTAAGAGCTCACACTTTTTAATTTGATTTAACTTCAAGGAAGTTTAAGTTCGTACACATCCAAGACAGGTAACAGGTCTTGCTTGCCTTATTAGGTAAGACTGGGGCACTCTTCTGGTCGAGAGAATGAAGACAGACTCAAAGAGGCCAGGCCTCCTCCTTCTTGAATGCCTGCTGGCCTCACTGCTCGTGGCCTCTCTCTAAAACAGAGCAAACCCTGAAGGGAACAAGCAATGTGCTACATTCTGTGCACTAGATCAACTTTCAAAGCGTAAGTGTCAGCAGATCACTCATACCCTTCCACTGACAGTTTCCTCTTGATTAGATCTAGGCAGAACCTCACTCCATGTATATCATCACTCTGAGGGAGCCAAATGCCTGGCACTGCTTAAAACAAATCCCATGAAACACAAACTGGCTTCAAATCTACAGGTGACTACACAGTATCATGAGTTTCAGACATATTTTTTTATTCTCTCAAACTCAAGTTTTGATGACCATGAATTCTATTAAGCTGGTGGCTAGAAAGAATAAAGGAAAATGGACCCATGCATAGGGTTTTTAAGAAAACAGACCAAGTACATCTTTTGAAACTCAACTGAAACTGTTCAACATAATGTGAAAGACTACCAGAGAAGCACTACACTTTTTACCATATATACCCAGTAAGCTATAGATTATATAACCAACACTAAAAGACAGGCAACAGCATGACCTGTCAAGATTCAAATCTGCCCTCAAACCACTCCTCTTTACTGACTGTTCACAACTACATGGCCACTGTTCCCAGCTGCTGGAAAAACCCAGTTTGACACACATGAGAACCGCCAGCTCCCAACAAAAGGCAATAAATACAGTGTTTGCCATTCAATGATTATGTTAAGAACACTGCCTCTTTCAGATGAGAATATACCTAACAGTCTCCTTAAGTATCCATTGCTCCTGTAAATACCAATTTATCAAGTGTTTGGTTGGATAAGAGTCAGACTGAAAGAACTGATGCCTTGGCTATACAGACACTGGAAAGTGTTTTGTCCATCCTACATTACTTTGCAGAGTACTAAAATACTCTGATTTTCTGTTCCTGGTATACAACACTACATCAAAAATTAGGAGAGCAAAATTTACAGAACACCAGTGTATGATTTTATCTCAGTGGAAGAGTGGAAGGAAGGACACACAAAGCTAGACTAGCCCTCCTCAGTATGAAATACCAGAGGAGATTTCCCGCTAGTCAGAAGCCCTAGAAAGGGTTCCCTATACACCAAGTTTGCCAGTGGTTCAAGTGTAAAGTTTGTACTTGATATTGTAATAGATAAGTAATGCACACTCCCATCACCTTCTCCAGCTGAGGAGGAACTATGGGGTTAGTGCAAGCTGTTTGTTACTCCAGCCAAAGCAACCAAACAAGTGAGTATTTCAGTTTTGCTTAAATCACCACTTATAGCTTTCAGTAACAACGGCCCCAAAGAAAGCGCAGAAATGAATGGTGGAAGTAATTTCCAAACTATTAGAACTGTTTCGGAAGTGAACTTTTGGCTTGCTTCATACTACTTCTGAGGTTTAGTCCTTCTCTTCTCAGATGCATATGCAAGGTTGGGCTTACTGAGAAGACTAAGGGAGCTTTCAAGTCTTGTGCTGTGCTCCTGGACAGCTGGTGGGAGCAGCACCAACAGATGACTATGTCAGATGCACAGCTTCTCTGAGTACTGTGACACAATTCTTCCTCAAACATGTGACAAGTAATCATCAATACTGAACTAAACAGTAATCTTGTTCATTAACATATGCACATTTAAGCTATTTCAAGATAAAGAACACAAACCCACAACTCTAGTACTTCAAAAAAGGAGGCCAACTAGCTATCCTCCTCATCTACTTCTTTACTTTTGCTGTGTATTATTTTCTTCCCTTACTGATGCAACTGTAAATTCCACACAATGGAGACAATAAGAAATGCACATCCAAGCTACATGTCTGGTTACTTTTAAGATCATATTTATTCACCCTCCCTCTTTAAAACCACACACACACACACACATACAGAGGTTCATCGAAGTCTTGCATTGTTTTAAAATTATTATACCCAAAACACTTTGGATTCTTCCTCTTCTTTTGCCTGACAACTTTGAAAAATGCTGTTTTCCTATCAGCTCAGAAGTGCAGTACAACTTACCATAAGCAAGTAAAGATAATTTCAGATTTGTAATAAGAGAAAATACTCAGTGAAAGAGCAACTGATTCTGGAGAGTATGTTTTCATACACTGTGATATCTCAGATTAATTAACTCTAAGTACTTACCATATTGTAGGGCATAGACAGTCTTAACATATTTGTCTCGGGGTACAAAGAATTTATGCTCAAGAATCAATACCATGTTGCAACACTTGTTTTTAAAACTAACTTTTTTAAGGATAAGAATGATCTTCGAAGCATAACTGAAAGATATCAGCTTATAAAATGTATTTCTCTGTTGATCAATTTCTGTACTCTGCTTCTTATTTGGAAAAGTGATGTACTCATTGAAAGGTTTCTTAGAAAGTAATGATACTCTCTGCTTTGCAAACAGTTTCTTATGATGACTTAAGTACCTTTCGTAGCTCATGGAGGTACACACTCTTCTTTCCTAGAATAAGACAATCAATCTGAAGACAAATTAAAACGTGATAGAAATACATTTTCAATTAGTACAGTAAGAATGATCAGTAACACTCGGTACTAGAGGTAACATGCATTTTGATATTAGACATGTATGAGATGTATGAAGTCATTATGTTTCCGGAGTCAGCTGTACGGCTTCCTATAAACCAGCAGGTCATACATGTCAATAGGCTTATGACAAACAAATATCTTTCCCTTTTTACAATTTGCCTCTCCTGTCAATACCCCTTAGCACTTTGTATTTTGAACTGACACTTATCAGAGGTATTGGTTGCCAGGCTGAAGCACTACGCCATAAGCTGCATCCCTGTGTGCCAGTAATGATTTCAGTGACGAAACCCATGTACAGAGGTCTGAATATTTGCACTACTTTTTTCCTTAGGGGGAAGGTGTGACTTATAAAGTAGAATTCAAAACGTTTCCCAGTTATAACCACATTTCCCAAGAGGCACTGAAAAGACCCAGTTTGTGTGTAATTATGAAAGACATTGTCTGGGGATGCCAACTGCACTGAAATATATGAATGTTTTCAACTCGCTAAACATGTCTCAACTCAGCAGCATGCTTATCTGAAACCCAAAATACTACTTTTGATGGTTTAGCAATGCAAAAATTCAGAGATAAGGTAATGCTAAAACCTTGCACGTTTGGGCTAGAGCAGTAAAGTTCTTGTGTTGTCTCCGAAATTATTCTGAAAATAAAATTTGTCAAGCTTTTTTCAGAATCAGCCTAAAAATTTTGCTCTATATTTAAATAAACCTTTTATTAACCCTTTTATGAAGAAACAAGTTTAAAATCTGTTGACTCATAAACAAGATACAAGACAAAACACATTTGTTTCCAGAAGCTTTGGTTGTCACTGTTTGTTTTCTGGAGAAATGACCTGATGATTCAACATTCAGGCAATATTTCTTCTCTTTTTTGTATTGTGTCATAGAATATGGCCTTATTTTTGTTATAAGTAATGAACTATTTTTTTATAAAGCACAGATATGCTTGCTTCATACTGAAATAGATTAAAAGTCACTCCAGTCAAAATCTGTGCTAATGTGCCTCCTGTTTATTACACTTGGTGACACTTAACACCTTTGCTGTCTCCCAACACACAGAGACAACTCTAAACTAACACTTGAGACAATGACTTACTGCACCATATTATAATCAGTTAAAACCCCCTCATTTCTTTAAGACATAAATCCATGTAAAAAATCTGTATCTTAGCATAGTGGGATAAAATACCATAAATATGGAAGAAATGTTTACTGACCTTCATCATTTATTGCCCTTTATTCATCCTCAGCAAAATCCACATCAGAAAAACATAGTACCATTTCTTGATGCATTTCCTAGTTAATTATAGAAAGTTTCCTACATCCTCCAGATAACATATGAATGCAATGCCACTTAAGAAATAAGAGACAGCAATAATCTGAGAGTTAGAGAGAAACCTTTCATACAGTGAAGAACTAGAAAAATCCCTCCAAAGGATTTTTTTCTCTAAAATTCTTGATCTGTGGACTTTTAGTAGGTGCTATCACACAATCTAAAAAAATATTGCAAATAGTATCTATCTACATATATATTTTCATATGCACACAAATAAAATTTGGCAAAAATAGAACATTTAAAGTTAACTTAATATTTATCCTATCAGTCATAATTGCAAGTATAGCCACGAGGAAGCTCTTTTCTGCAGCAGGGATTCAGTGTGTTCAAACTCTCAATGCTCTTAAACTCCAGTTACTTCCAGTGGTAGAGCTAGTACCTTATAAAATTATACTTGGTTTATGTGAGAGTGAACAGTCACCATGCCAACCCTGACGAACAGTACAGGACATGAAATAGCCCGTGGATCTCTTGTCCCACCCAAATAGCTGGAAATGTAATTGGGGTAGAGGAAAACAAAACACAATCAAAACAACCATATGAGTCAAGAGGCTGCACGGGCTTATGTGGGAACAAACACACGTACCAATCTCCATGTAGTGTTTCTACCTAATACATTAGTGAAAAAACAGTTTTCAGTTACCAGTCTGGTATATGTTTTCCCATTAAGAAGGTGGTTTCACAAGCCACTGAACTATATCTTTGATGTCTGTGATAACTATTCCTAACTGTTTGTGAACTACACTATTAAATTCCCTCAAATGTCAGTTTATTTCCTCTTGTAACGTATTCCTACAGTGCGAGATTAACAGACACAGAGTAGGCCTTCAGGCACTAAGAATGTAAATCAGCCTAATCTCAAGAAAACAAGATGTGCACTTAACCATAAATATTTTTTTTATAATCACATCAAACATGACATACCTGGTATTTGGTTTTATATAAATTAGTTCTTACGTCAGATCTACTTCTGAGGTTATCCAAAACCCAAACACATAACATTATTTTTACTCTTCAGGCCTGAATAATATTTACAGACATTAATGCTATATCCAGCTCTACAATCATTCAAGACACATTATATAACTTTATTTTTTTATTTGACAAGCAGCAGTATCATGTTCGTCATTTTTTTTTACATTTTAATGTAGATACAATTATTAGGTTATCTGTCATATTACAATATTTAGGTTTTTTGTGTGATTTTTTTTTTTTTTTACTTTGTCTTAAGATACATTAAAAAACATCAACTGCAAACGTGAAAGGGGAGGGGGAAAAAAAAAAAAGCATGGTACCCAACCAATTCATCACATTTCAGCAATACTTCACTCATTCTTTTAGTAAAGTTTTAAGAAATGTCATAATGACATGAGCTTGAAATATCTATAGGCATTTTCATTGACGCTCATGACATGGCACTGGTGATGTTGTAAACAGCAGAAAAACAGGGGCTGCCAAGTGACCAATTATGGAGGCACAGGCCTGCCTCTTCCCACAGGAACACACCAAACAGTGACAGCAATGATCTCCTTACAATCATACCTGCAGGATAGCAACATCATGCTACATAACTGTATTCGTCTGCAGAGGCCTGGCTTCGCTCTATGTACTGTTTGTCTATCAGAACTTCAATACACTTCTTAATCATGCTGATACTTGGGTTAAACCTAGCTCTTGATTGGCTGATTACCTGCAAAAGAAAGACACAGTTTTTGTGTTAGTTTTATTTTTCACAGTCAAAACCTGCATCTAAATATTTGCTAAGGGCTTTAAGGTAAATTCAGTATGCTTTTCTTTTAAAGACAGGATTAAATAACCCTGGAATAGTTAATTTATAACAATCAAGAAAGCATCTTTATGCATTAGTGTCAGGACACTGAAACTGACTGTTGAGCTCACTGGTTAGTTTGGCTGCATGTTCCCCAGATCTCTTCATTTCTCTTGCTTGCTTCATTTGTCACAGTACAACTGAACACAAATATCCATGTTAAAAATTAATCTAATATAAACACATCTGTTCACTATTATCATAGTGGAGTTCCGCTACCACTGATCTCCTTTCCTATACAGTTTGAGACAATCAGGGTGAACCTCTATTCCTTCAGCCACTGAAGACAGATATACAATATACAATTTGGTGAGTTCCATCTGCCTAAGCTGGAACTTTGTAATACATGCAGTAAAAAATTATTTATTGTAAAAACAAATCTGTATTTGCATTGTGGAAGAAACTGCCACTGCAGGCAAAACTTTAGTTGTCTCTTGATAGTTCTCAGTTTTGCTCATTCTCCTGTAGAGAAGAAGAGGAAATCGTGAGTAGTAACAGATCACGCAAATCTAGAACGTGAAAAATTTTTTAAACAAAATATCCTACTACTCAAATGTCACAATATATTTTGCCTGTAGTTTTTAATTTCTTCTGTAAAGAAAGTGATCTTTATTTCAGCTGGATTTCCTGTTTTCTTTACAGCTTCTCATGGTTGGCTTTGTCCCAGCTCTAGAGTTTGCTGGAGCCCTCTGTGAGCCAACAGAACTCACCAGGTGGAACTCACCCAGTAAAGCAAACAAAAAGCTCAAAAGAGTGAGTTTTGTTGGGCTTGCAGCCAAGGGTCTGGTACGTTCCACAGCAGCACAAATGAGGAGAAAGTGGGTGCTAACAAACTAATACATCTGCTCAGGTTTCACCTAACTTCAGCCCTACACTCAAACTGTCATCATCATACTTGTATTTACTTAGGACAGAGAGAACAAAAGGTTTTGTATTGGTACGGGCTTTTTTTGATTTGTTTTTGTTTCCTTAAAGGTAATACAAATAAGAAGGAGAGAGAGAAATACCTATGGTCAGAATAAAAACTTTTCTGGGAATGACTGCACTGACCTTTCCCCTCCACTACTTCCATGGACTTACTTGTTTTATGGGAAAAGCTACCTCGTCCTGCAGGCGACTGCAGCACAGAGCTAGAATTGAAATTATCAGGGCATATCTAACACAATTAACAATTCAGACAAAGACCATATGCTGACATATATAGGTCTACCAGGGGCCTGGACTATTTTCTTGGACACCTCACCCTAAACAAAATGGGTAGGGTTGTAGTCTTAACTGTTAAAATCAGAGCCAACTACATTAAGGCTAGGAGTCTCTCCATCATACCTCGAACAACAATATAATCCTACCCTTATAGCTAAATAACGTAATATTAATGAGATGAGAAAATATTAACTCTTTGTAGTAAACAGACTCCTCCTAAAAAGATTCATTTGTATTCAAGAAGTCAGACAGGAAAATTTAAGTGAATACATTATACATGTATATAATCAGCACGATAAAAGTAACCAGAATTAATAACAATATCGCAACTTTACTCCCTATTTAGTTTTTAACTGAGTAACTATCAAAATATCCCTCTTTCTTGAAAAGCTAAACATAAAGCTCCTGATGTTAATAGACTATTCTGCAAGATTTCTGCAAGAGCAAAAGACAGCAGAGGCACATAAGATAGTGGTCCTTCCATTAAACAAAGGAAGAAGCAACCAGAAAGGATTTGTTTCCAAAACATAAAAATTTGTAATCTATTTCATCCTTATAAACTGGTGTCAAGAAAAGTACATTTTGGAATCTTTTTCTAATAATTTGAGAGTGGGGAGAAAAAAGTATTTTCAAAGACGAAACAAGGTTTTCCTTTCTAGTTTTATTTGTAAATTCTTACAGGACTTCATCATAACTGCATGGATGATTTAAATAACAGGAAACCAAATAGCCAAAGATTTTGAGAAGAATCAGGACCTACGGTGCCTTACCTTTTAGATATTCAATCTAAGAGTAATTGTGTACAAGCACTATTTCAATATCCAAAACTTTTAAGATATTGCAAGAACATTGCAAGTTCTGGACTTACAAACTCCCTGCACCAGTTTATTTTTTTTTAAGAAATAAAAATTAAATGGTGGGTGTACTAAACTATTTCCTCCATCACCACAAATTACTCAATGCTTCTCCACCTCCATCCTCAAAACGGTTGAATAAAGCAGGAATCTTTATTCCTCCTCCTACCAGTCTGCTCTGAGGCTTCCAGCAAGGCTCAGGGACACAAGAGTGAACTAGACTGAAGAAAGAATGCCTCGGAAGGTTGAGAAAACTAAAAATGGGAACCGGTTGGTGGGAGCAAAGGTTGGAATGAAAAATACAATTAGGCAGGCGACCAACAGATGGGAAAATGGGAGAAAAACTAATGACATAGCACTGCCTTCCCAGCCAGCCTGTGACAATTCACAGATCATTAATCCAGAATGTAAAAAATCTAGAGAACTGTAACACCTAATGGAAAAGGGGATTAAAAAGTGTATATCTTCACACTCGGACAACGTTTAAAATTTAAGCCATGTATTATAATAAAAATAATGATTAGAGTTAAAAATTGGCTAGGTGCTTCTGTGCAAATTCCATACTTAGAATATCCATACTCAGGTTTTCAACTGTAACTACAGCTCTGGCAACATTTCGTATAGGATACAGTATCTGTTAGCATAGAACCAGCCAACAGGAAAGAGCAAGCACTTAATGTTTTAGTGGTAAGACACATTTGCAAGATTGAGGGATCCCAGCTGGTGCTCTAGTACTGCAGTTCAAAGCAGACCCTAAGAAAATCCTCACTGATTTCACTAGGGTATTAGTTTCAGCACAGGAGAGTTCTGTGGTCACATGTTTTCCCCAACCCTCCAGAAGATTTTCATCAAATCAAGTTGAAGAGGAGGACTTTCTCTTACCTCCTGAATTAGAGCATTATGTCGCAACACTTTACGTGCTTTCATGATACGGACTATAGCAGCTTGGAGATACATTTTTCTGTCTTCATCTACAGCACTTCTGGTCTGCTCCATCTCCTGTGATATAGCAAGAACATTAATGTTTAAAATACAGTACGACCAATAAACACTTCATAAAAGGATCTAGAACCTACACATTTTACTTTACTAAAAGTGGTAAACTAATACAAAAATGCAGGAGAAGTTCAATTCCAGGCAAAGTACTTCCATAAATCAAGAATACGAGGTTTCTTTAAAGTCAGTAGGAAGGTAGGGCAGGCATCCCAACCACCAATTCTGCTAGGGAGAAAGGCAGGCAGAATTTACTATAATGTATTGAGTTTGGCAGCACATACATATCTTGCACAAAATCCTATGTCTGAGGAGATACAGGATTATCAACATAGGAGTTAATTTTAGTTGCTGAAAGACAAAAATCATAGCAAAATATTTGATTGGTTCTGCTGTTCCTGGAATAAGTTGCTTTTGTAAACACCACCAATAAAAAAGTCTCATGAGATAACACCACCAACAAAAAAGTCTCATGAGATAAGACAAACTAAATGTCAATCCCTTTTGGTACATTTTGTTTATCTTTTTCTTCTGCCTTGTTGTTCCCTATTTTATCTTCTCTTGCCTGTATTTTAAGTACAAAAAAAATTGCAGTGCTTAAGCTTTAAACTTACACAATTTCTTTATGGTTATGTAAATCTTACTCGGTGAATCTTACATCTGCTTACACCAGACTAACACAATAAATTCCATTTTAGAGAAATAAGTTTCTAATCTGTTCAAACTAGAAACACCAAAGAACACTCACCTGTGGTGTGTCTTTCTGCATTGATGTTGTAATTTTAAATTTTGTTCGTTTACTGCTGAAGTTCATATTTAATGAAAACGTAGACTCTGTCTCTATGTCTTCCTGCAATAAAGAGTCTTTTTTAAAAATCAGAAAGAGAACCAGAAAATGGTAGCAATTTACTTTGACAAGTCACAGTTAGGGTCTTACATACATATAAACAATTTCAGGTTTGTAGTTGGAAATTCTAAAATGCCACTTGAACCAGATCAATTTTTTAAGCTACAGTTTAACTAACCTAGAAGTCAAGTCTACTTCAGAAAACACTATGAAGAATTCTATCATACATTAATTTTGTTAACAAGTCAATATGATTAAAGTAATTTCTTTTTTAATACACTGACATCTTATTTAGTTGCAAACTAAATTTTCTTCTAAACTCATTTTCTTCCTGCAGAGAAAGCAGGATTTGCATTTATTTGTGGCAGAACGTCGAGAGGGAGCTGTTGCTTTCACAATTTTTACTAATGTTGCCTCCCAGAACTTAAGGAAAAATAACTAAGCATTTTTTTTTATATTATACCAGAAACAGCTGAAAAACTGCAACATCTATCTGTGTGTTTCTAATTTTTTCCTGTCAGAGTCTCAATTTTTTTCCACACATAAAAGTCCATTTCTTTCAATAAATGGTAACTACTCCCTGCAATCACAACACCTTTACTTTCAACTAACAAGATAACTGGACTGATCTTTGCAGTTTCCAGGCAAGAGTCTGTAGAACTATTAGCAATTTCCAGCAGAATAAAGTTACTGGACTTCTGAGACCTTAGAATGTTGCCAAACTGTTTGAAGGGCAAATATTTCAGTAAACACAGCCAATATTTAACTAAATATGCACTCAAAACAGTATTAATTCTAATTTTATATTTGGCAACAAATATTCTTTGTTAAAATAAAAATAAAACCAGGACACCAGGCATGGTATAGAAATTGTAACATGAAAGGGGAAAGACCAAGAGCTTTAAAAAAATAAGCTAACAAAAAAATAGGCTAACATTAAATTTTAGCATTATTCTCCTTACAGAGTTGAATATAAACCAAAATAAATTGTGTATTGAGCATGAAATTAAAAAGCATGGACAAATAAAGATTTTTACAAAAGTTGCTTGTGGTGTTCACTTCTCCCTCCCTCTGCTTCTCTCCCTGATCCTGCTGGTGGGGGAGTGAGCAAGTGGTTGTTGGGCCTTGGCTTCCATCTGGGGTGAAACCACAACACTCAGATACAGGTTAAGAGAAGTTTGTATATTGAATTCCACTGTTTAAGCCACTAAAGTTCATTTGTTTGTTTAATAAGTAATCTGATAGGCTGTCTACAGATCTGCTATCACATTGCTGGAGAGAGTGCAAAGAAAACAGAAATAGCAAAGATACTTGAATACAATAGTTTGGAAGGCAAAGAGCTAGAAAATGCAGTGGTAAACATTAAAAGGTGAAAGGTTTGGAAAGCTGTATCATTCCCTCTTCAATAACATATCCTTAAAGGAACTGGGCAAACCTTATACAACAGACATAAGTAAAGGTAAATCCTTTAAATAATGGGCAACTTCCTAGGATAATGAAAAGTTTCACTGTTTTCTTTAATAGCTCCCAGTGTTTTATTTGACTCATGGTTTAACAGACTCCCAGCTATTGTTCCAACCTAAGCTGGTTTCTAGACATTAGAAGCATGTCCTATGCTTCAGCCAAGCATCAGATCTTCCTTGTAATCTCACTTCCCATTTCTTAAAATTTTCCTGCCATCAGAGCATCTTTAGAATTCTTCTCAAAAGAGAACTGAACAGCTTATCTCTGTACCTTCTGTCTGATACTGTCTGAATAGTGGGTTTTCTGGGCTAGCTGGAAGCACATGCTAATGCCTGTACAGGATGCACAGGCACTTCTGTCATGTTTCTTACTTAACAGACCTCTGTGTCCTTCGCTGTATGGGAAAAAGGGAAACTGGTTTCACATAGGCCATACAGAAGGACGAGACAGTCAGAAACAGAACCTGTATCAACCATTGCGTTAATCATAAACAAAGCTCAGATATTACTGGAATTCCATGAAACTCCTAGAATGATAAGTTTGGCAAAATGCAGCAAAAATCCTCTCAAACAAACCCTCCTTGCCCTCTTTCCATCTCCTGTAATCTGTCAGCAAGGAAGAACCCCGTTGCTGTTGCTTTCAGTCTCTTAATCCCACAAATATTTTTTTAGGATAGCTGTAAGATTCTGGTTTGCAACTCAGGCTCCTTCCCCTGATTCAATACAACTTCAAAAGTGGTGTATTGCCCTCCAACAGTGGTGAGTCTTAAGGCATATGTATGAAATGCAACAGAAGGAATAAAGAGTCCCAGCTTTATTATCTGTTCAGCAGACCATGCTGCTATAGGCATGGAAAGCCTATATGGCAGACAGTCTACTTCCTCCTATCTCTTTCCCTAAAAATACAAATTTATAATTGTTCACAAGGGTCAATAATACAGTTTTGAGATTAAACAATGGATTATTTTATACTAAAACAAGCCCTCAAGAAATATCAGAATGACAAGACTGAAAACGTGAAACTCTTGTATATCATTAAGGCATACCTTGTCTGAGTCATGGTTTATCATTTTGACATCAAGCAAAGATTTGATGGTTTTTGTCAGTTCCTTCTCATTCATTTGTGTGCTGTCCTGAAGCTCCTTGTAACTGACAGTCTCACTGTTGTTGAAGGCAAGCAACACTGCCATTTGGTATGTTGTGACCATGGCTACATAAGGTTTGCACAAATAGTTCATTTTTACTTCACCTGTAATGATACAACAGTATTTTATAAACTGATGGAAGGTGCTGAAAAGTCATCTGAAGTTTAACTACCAGAACTCCTCACACATTTCCAGACATTCAATTCAAGCTTGCATTTTACACTTGAAATGGGATGATGACAACTGGTGTTGTGAATTCACAGTTACAGAATGTGGTCTACAACAAAAAAACCCCTCTGACTAACTATGAATACTAGAACAATACTGTTTTGAATAATGCAATATAATTTATAATAATAACAAAAACGGAAATTCCAACTAGATTTTCATAACATTATATTGTTGTATGCTAGTCTGGTTTGTCATCTCCACGTAATATGCTGCGGTGCTCAGTCGTTAAAGCCTGATACTGAAAGCATTTGAAATAAAACATGATTTACTGACACTTACTAAAATAAACTATAATTTTATATATAACTTCTAAGATGTTAACATGTACTCCCATATAGTAAATATAAATATTTATTTACTTAGATACTCACATACCTGATTAATATAGTATAATATGCATTCTTAAAATTATTTAATATTTATCTAAGGGACAGCTATAGTACAAAACCAATTCTGGGTCAATTGTTATTAACTCGGCAGTTCTGTAGTGCTGTTTTGTAGTTAAGAACATACAACTCTAGTTTTACTTGGATTTAATAAATCACAGGTAAGACATGCAAGTTTACAAAACATAAGTTTTGGAAATACTATGTAGTAAATATTAAATTAATTTATAATGCAAAATAATCTGTTGACTCTATATGCAAAATATTGTTCCAACTCCACAGTCTGTTGCCATTTGAAAAGGATTTCTAGTAAATAACTGTCAGTTGTATAGACCATAAGTTTAGCAAAGCACTTGTTTTTACCTGTACAAAGATAATGTAACCAAGTAAGCTTCCTTCCACTAAAATGCTGACTGTAAAATAATTCAAACTGCAAAACAAAATGAACTTCAATTAGTCACACATGTAACTACTTACAATAGTTTATTATCACCCTACCACCCTAATGAAGAAATACTGGCTTTATGTTCACCCTACTGGATGCAAACATTGCAGATCAATTCATGACAGCATTTTCCCTTGGAACACGATGATGACTGAATCCTGATAAGGTCTACCTCTGGTAATGAGAAAGACTTAAGCAGATTCAAAGAAACTTTACCTAAAATGGAATCAAACTCTCTGAACTCCACATAGCCAACACTGTGTACACATGAGTTTGGCTTATTCCAATTTGGTCTGGCAACTGATTAACATTGAAGGAAAACACAAAACCAGGAACTTTTGACCTCTTTAAGAATAGGGTGTTTCTCCACCCACAAGCTTACACAGTATGAATACCAGTATATGTACACCATTCAGATAAATACATATTTACAAGAAGCTCCAGCAGTCTGAGAAAAAGCTGCTAAACAGCTTGCCCAGTTATTCATATACTTTGGAGTAAAATTGCAAAATGTTTTTTTTCTTTCTAAATTCTGGTCAGAATCCTGGAGAATTCTCTCTCTATGGGTCAAATGATGAAACTTAACAGTAAATACATTGGGAGACAATTTTCAAAGACCCCCCCCCAAAGTCATGTTCTGTTCCCTTATGAAATTATAATTTAGGGCACTGACTCTAGCTATGACTAAATTTGCTCCTTTAAACTGCCAAAACAGTGAAATTAGGCAAGCAACCCAGACTCTAAGCTGCTTCTGATACAGAAGCCTGTAACAATTTTCCAACTGAGACACAAATGACAATACTCCTACTTTGAACTCACAAAGAACAGGAAAATCTCATCCATCACCTTCTGGTGACTGCATAGTATGGATTGGAAACTATTATATTGCTAAAAGTGCCACCTAATAGAGGGGAAATACAGCAGAATAAATAGTTCTAAAACTCAGTAGCAATATGTGAAAAAGCTCCCTCACCACAGAAACAGACATTTACCATTATAATTTACCTCAGATAGTAAATTAAGGTATAAAAACTGCTTTTAAAAATCTGTTATGTCCAATAATACAAAATTTTTATTCCGTAAATTGTACTTCACCATTAAATGCACTTTACCAAAGATCAACACACGTTGTACAAGTAACATTTAGAACACAATAATACAATCAAAACCAACAATATACTTACCTCTACAAAGTAGAAATAATCACATAAGAAAAGAATATTTGACCAAAGTAAAACCTTTACTGCTTTGAGAAATCATAAAATTAGCCTTAAAGAAGTTTGCACAAAGCTTGATTTTGAATAGCTCCTATTATATACAGGACAAAAACCCTGTATTTGCATCTTAATCTGCTATTATATCTGTTCATATTTAATATTAGAAACAGAATCTTCTTTTCTTTAAATATTAGGAATTGGTTTTAAAGAAAGAACCAACCTAGTTGGCTTAATTGTATTTATTAACATCTCCCTCAGCAATCACAAAGTGTAAAAGAGAGATGTTAAAAGTAAAGAAAAGCTATGCAAATACATACATAAATTCAGTAAGGTATTTGGGTGACCCTTCCACATTTCCTATGGGCTGGAAACAGGATATCCACAATTTACAAACAAAATGAAGCAGCTCAGGTTTTTCTCTGTTCGAGTGATGATCTTTTATTTGGAGTTATTTTACATTTTCCACATGTTTACAAGAAGCCTCCTACTAACCTACCATCTGTACACTTTTTTCCAGTTCCTGAGGAATTGCAAATGTAGAAGAAGGAGCCTGAGTTAGAGGCCATGCACCAGCCTAAAGGTATTGGGAAAAAATAAAAGCATTAACATTTTCAGACAATATATACATTAAGAAAAAAATAACACTCTTAAACAGATCTACAGTGTACATTATGTCATAAGACAATCAATTGATCCCAGAAGTTTTACTGCTCATTTTTTACTGCTCCTTTTGCACACCCCAGTGAGGTATTAACTGAAGTTGAGAGCACAAGACATTTTATATCACTACTGTTTAGTGAGCTACTGGGTTAATTTTAAAAAGCAACACTAGGAAAATAAACTACCCTACAATAATCACAAGGCATCAGTTTCCATACAAAGAAGCATTCATAGTTAGAAAAAATGTTCACTTGTTATCAAAACATAAAAAATAGGCACAAGTAACTCAGTAATAATAAACATACATTAGTACCTGTAGAACATATATCTGAAAGCTAATTCCCAAATCTATAATCGTGTCCTGGTTTTTGATAAAGTTGTTGAATTTATTGTTGAGATCAGCACTAACACTCATGTCTGTATACATTCGGTGGAGCTTGCTGGTAAATTCATAACCACAGGCTTGCTGTGAAGAAATATTGTAAGAGGTTTCACAGTGAAAACAGTCCTTATTGTATAAATTATGCCCACTCACTACTACAATATGAAAATCTAGTCAGCAGAAGTGTTGTTACATTTACAGAAAACACTAGTTACAATAGAAAACAAACATTGTAAAATAAAATTACCAGATTTATCTTAGTTTCACTCTATACACAGTGATCTACATGAACAATGTTATCCTATAAAACTGAAAGACAGACATGGTCTATGAAAGTCCTTGGTACTTTTATAATGTTAGTATGAATTATTTGAACCCATCTAATAAAACTACCCAAAACCTTATAAAAATCGCAAATGCCTAGCTGATACTTGGCCATATATCTTTCACAGACTACCAAAAAACTAGTTGTTCCTTTCAGCTATTGGAAACAGACCTACTGACTGTTAAGTTACCTCTGGCACCCTCTGCTGCTCCCTCTCAACACTACATATTCCTTTGTTCATTCTGTGTTAGAAGAATATTACGTTACCTTTAGTTTATTTATCATGGCTTCTTCAGAATCCATAGACATAGACAAACCATGAATTAATCTTTTTGCCAACATTCTGGCATAGAACTGCATTGAAAAAAAAACAGATATGAGGATTTTAAGAAGCATAATCACATACTTCAAGCATGCTTTAAATGTAATATTTTAACCTTTATCGAATATAAAAAGTTACCTTTTGGAATACATCTTTGTCATCAATGTATTTGAAAACAGTAATGAAACTTGTAAGTTTGTCTTCTACTTCATTCTCTGTCATTCCTTTTGCTGATTTCTTCAACAAGTTGTCACAGTACTTGGCCAGCTCAAATTAGAAAAAGAAAAATCAAACCCAAATCTACCTGTCGAGTTTGAGAACAAATGTATGCCAAGGTATTCCAAACTTCTACACAAAGTTCAAACGTGAAATAAGTCACAGTCCACAGTGTCACATTCTATTACAAGGCTGTATTCATGGGTAAACTATATATTCTACATCTGCAGAAAATACAGTCTATACCAAAAAATAGAACCATAGCAACTTTGCACACCCACAAAACCTGTGTGCAAGTTAAACTGCTACTACTGAAATACACACCTGAGGGTGACCCAGCGTAAGAATTGGATATTCATGTGAGGGACCCTATGCCAATTCATTTGACAATTATAAACAAGAATTCTTACTTTCTACTTGTATCACTTACCAACTCAGGTGCTTTGCAGATCGACTTGGGCTCCCTATAGTTAACTACCGAAGTCAAAGCCTACATAAGAACATAGAGCAAAGAGAAAAATTGTAAATGACTTACACCTTTTTCTTTTATGGGATTTGAAGAACTCAAAAAAAATGCTCAAGGTAAAGACCATCTGAGACACTATAAAACTGAATTACACAAAGGGGGGTCAAAAAAGAAACAACGAATAAAAAGGTTTCAATTACTGCCCTTGGGAGAATTTGGTTGTTAAACATGTTTAAGTTGAGAGTTAAGTAAAAGTGGAAAGAGTAGAGGAACAGAAGCTAATCAAAGAAAATGGGAGAACAAATCAAGTTCTGATTAGAAACTTTGTAGAAGATTTTTGAATACAGCAATATTATGGTGCAAAAGTATGGATGGAAAGAGGCTTAGGAATAATTACAGATAAAGCAGATTTGAACACCAGCACAACAACAGCAGATTATATTGACAGCGTGTATGGACAGCTGAAGAGCATATATGGTGTGCTCACAACAGTAAAAACCAAAAGTTCTTTTGGTTGTGGGATTTTTTGATAGACTAAAGAGGAGAAAAATATTGTTCAAAGTAGAAATTTGAAGCAGTACAGTACAAACAATATGGTGGTTAAATAAAACCTGAATATGATAAAAAGAAAAGGAAGGAGATAATGAAAGTTTAGAATTGAAAAAAAGATGTTAGAATAGTCAAGTTTCTAAATCACACATCACATTTAAATTAACATTTTAAACTAACATTGAACCAAAAATACTGAGTGATTATAGTTCCCAGGAATTACAGTTCCTCTACAGAAGGAAAATATTGTTCTTATTATCAAGATGAACTGACAAACAACGTTTTTGTACAATACATCGACATTTCAAAACTTGGTAATAGGTCTCTAGAATCCCTGTGAGAAAGGAATGCATGACCTGGAGTAGGAAACTTTGAAGCTTGGAGTACTTTTTTGCAATAAAACTGGAGGCAGCAGTTTTGATCTCCACCATGAAAAATTAACAGCAGATTAATATTTTAAATATTTATTGTAAGAATGATCACTGAAGTGAAAAAGCGATGTGTCTAACAAAACCTATGCCAAAGGTAGTTGTCAATCTTGTGTTACTCCACCTTCTGGTACATGACATTAATTGCAGTGGAGACAGAAATGTGTTTGGCACTGAGATAAGTATTTGTTTTAAAATGCTAAATAGTTATTTTCTCCATATCACAAATACAAATGGGTAACTACTATTGGTGCTATTATTGGTACCTTCTTCACTATGCCTTTCATACTAACCTTGGCTGAAAATTATCAAAGCTTAGACTAGGACCCTGATTACAAACTGCAATTTTTATAAACACCACAAAAGAGCAATGAACCATACGTCTACATCTCATGACAGGAAATTATAGACAGGAAAGATACTTACAATTACTAGTTACAATCCATAATTATTATTATTAAACTTTATAACAATTAGAACTGTTATGTTAAAATAAAAGAGCAGCAAGCCTGTTTCCCTAAATTTATTATTTAACTTCAACTGCAGCTCTCTCCTGCAAAAAGTTACCTATTGTGACAGTGACTGAAGTAATGTAAGTTTTCAGATACTCTTTGTTTAGATTTTTCAAGGTGACTACAAATATTCTATGTAAGTAATACTAAAAGCACTCAGAGTCAAACATTATGTCAGGAAGCAAATTCAAGTTCAAATGCATTTAAGAATTACCAAACCTCCCAAACACAAGTTGTCTATTATCTGCACTTACATTTACACTAAATGTGTCAGCATCCTTTTTGTGTTATGAAATGTGATGAAAAGAAAGGCCTTTCTTTCTGAAAACATTAAACTGTTAGAGTGGTTTCCTGTGTACATATCTTTCCCTCTAACACTGGCTTGTCTTTTGTGCCATTGCATTTCTAAGGTAGAAAAACTGCATAAAAACTCTATCTTTGAACATGTGTTTATGCTCTGAAGAATTCTGGTGAGGCTGAAACAGGGTCCCGAATTTTGTTTTCCAATCCCTTGTTTACCTAAGTAAAAGTTACCTTGTCAAGGGCACTCATAAAGTGTTGATCACCATTCAAAACAGTGTTGATGAGTTGCACAAATTTACTATGTACTTCCAAAACTGACTCCACAAACTGAGTTGGCATCTAAAGGGAGGTAAATAAAACAGAAAGTAAGTTAATGAGAAAAGTAGTATTATCTACTTATAAACATATCTACCTTAGTTGTAGATTTTTTTCCTAATTACTCTTTTTTATAAAAGTTAATACCACAGTGATTAAGTCATTGAGAGGATTGGTTCTGCACTGTTGTACTCTCACACGACTATCCTAGAGCATGTTTTGGAAATAAAAAGACCAGGCTACATTTACAGCCCTGCTATCCAACATAGATTTGGGTCTATACTGCTCTCATGACGTCTAATTTTTCTGATCATACCCTAAAATCCTTTATTAGCCTTTCCAAAACCATTAATGCTAACACATAAATACAGCAATCAAGCCAAAATGCAACTGAAGTAAGTAAACAGCTGCTTCTCCTACATACTGACTTTGGAGACACAAAATCTGGATGATCCCTTTGCATTTTCCTCCATAGGACAGTTATCAATTGAATTTCGTGCACTATGTTTTAGCATCCCTTTCTGTACAGAGGACTGACAGGAGCTGGAGGAGCCCCTACAGAGACACTGTGAAATTATCTACATAAGGTTGTGAATTGTCATCACCCTCATGGCTCTGTATTTATTTCCCTGTGTAGACCCTATAAGTTTGAAAGAATAAGCTCAATAAACCTACAAATAATATGAAAGCAAAATATACTACTAAAGACTTTAGTCCATTTTCTGTATGCACACAGGAGTCACAGAAGAGTAAGCACTCCTGTGCAGTCAATAAATTAGTGAATTTACAACAGGTTGTATTTATGTATTATTGTAGATACAAACACTGGGTGGCTAAAGTCACCATCCTAAAGTGAGCACAGATCTAGACAGCAAGTTGTACACACATGTACAAATGTAATGTCAAATGAAAGCTTGTTGTTTGTGTCTGAACAGCAATGCTAGAGGAACAAACATGGAATTGAGTAATTTAAATACATATGAACTGAAAAAAAGTTTAATGCACTTTAGTAAAATAATTAAGCTAGAGTATTTTCAGAAACTACATAAAAATATGAGACTACAAAGCTATTAGTGAAAAACATCACACTGAAATCAGGGTAGGATCTCAAGTTTTTACAAATACTATATAATTAAACTAAATGGAATCACTGGTTCCTAATATACCAGAACAGCAAACGCCACTGACTTAAGAGAAACTCAGGAAAAAATACATACATGGAACAAAAGGACCTACTTGCCCTGACAGCATTTAACAAGCAACAATGAGAAATATCTAGCTGCAGTTGTTTCTGGTTAGATCACAACAATCAACTCTCAGGATAGATATGTGTCACACAGTTAACCATGCTGATCAGAGGTTACAAGTTATCCATCATGTTCCAAACTAATTTCATACAGACAAAATTAAAAAAAAACCAGAATAGACTAACAGGAAAAGAGCCAACAATTAATCAAGACTGTTAATCAAATAGGTAATTTCAGCTGCCTGAGGAAACTCACATTTTCCTGAGAAAGATTGCTGGTTGCTCTAAGGCCCTCATCATGGATATGGTTTTGTAGTTCCTGAATCATATGAGGTAAACCACTTGACACAGCACGAAGCAGAGTATACATATTTGCCATGTCTGTAACAGAGATACATTTTTATAGAATATGGTTAGAAACACTAAAAATTGACACTTAATATAGCATCATAATTTCACACAGAACTTCTTAAAGACTGAAACAAGACTGTTTTGAAAAAAAATAATTAACATACACTGGATCACCGACAAAATAATGAAAGGAAAGCGTAGGGTTAATACCAGTATTTACTGAGTCCAGACACTGTGACTAACTCACCCTTCCAAAACTGCTTCTTTAGGAGAGAGTCCAAAAAGAGAGGTGGGCTAGTATGGAGAAATACTGTGCCAGTGGTGGTTTGAAATTTTTTTCAGGTTAGAAAAGCTATAAATAAGCAACTGCTATTTTTATGATTTTTTTATTCCTCGCCCCTCCTCCCGCTAAAAAACAGATCCAAGCTCCGATCAAACTTGGAAAACTCCCTGGAAACTGAATACTATTATTAGATACAATTTGAGTTTGGCTGTGAAAAAATAATTTGTTTCACATAATAGATACCATCTTCCACGCAAGAATAAGCATTCTTTCAAGGGTAAGAAGCATGTAGTCATCAGGAAGACTTTTTTTTAGTCTGGCAGATAATCTAATTATAAGAACATCTCCTTCTTTAAAAAGGATTTGGGACAAGAGGTCACAAAAGATTCAGAACAATAAAAAGTGGCTGTGAAAAGAAGCCAAAATATTCTATAATCCTGACCTGTCAACTGATGATGAAGAAATCTGTAAAGACAGAGCCATTGGTTTACAAATGAAAACAAGCATAAAATATGATCAATTCTACAGGACACAGGACTTCCGTGCGTTTTTAAGCTAAGACAAGGAAAGAGAAAGAACGTTGGCCAAAAGTAGGGTTGTTAACAGTAAAAAGGAAGGTTTTGACTACATATTTGGAAGAATGAAAGTTAATTATATGGTAAAAGAAAATGTAATTCAGGGTTGAATTAGGATTTCTAGGTAAGTAACGTCAGCTGAAAGTACTTAAGTGCACAGAAGGCCATTGAAAAGAAGACAGGAAATCCCAATGCTAAATGAATAAAACAAAAAACATTTTATGCTTTTTGTGACTACAGACTTACCACTTCTTTTCTCTTGTCTGATAATATTGTGACATTCTGCATGTAGAAACTGCAAGTGATCAGCTACCATCCTCTGTTGGCATTCATGAATCACTTTGCCATATGAGCTGGGATGCAAGTATTTCCGACACCTCATTTCTTCATCTTTTAATCTACCTAAAACCTGCAGACAAGTGTTCAAACTGAGAGCTGGAGAAATACTAACAACCAAAATAGAAACAGAATATACAGCACTATATGTATGTAACATGAAACACAAGAATAAGTAAAAATTACAAAAGAACGTGTACGTGATGCCAAAAAATTAAATTTGCTCTTTTGAATCAGGCTATTGCTGAAATAATATAATCTACTCCAAATACTGACTAGCAGCTTTCAGTAGTTTTCAAAACTTCTTTTTCCCTTCAACTTTGTGACCAGTTTTCCCTAATTTCTCTTACCACGCTTCTTGCTCTTTCTGGAGAAAGTTTTATGCCAGTACCTAACTATAAGAGACTATAAGAACCACCTTACTGCTCCAAATCCATCTGCTTGTACATAAAACATCTGCTCAATAGGTACAGGAAGGAAATAGGCATCATAAAATAAGTCATATGAATGCTGACATAAAAGCACTTACATCCTGTGAATTTGAGGGGAGTCTAGGAAAAGCAGTACAGCTGCAGAGTGTTAACAATAGGCAAAATTAATCTGCATTGCTTTTGGTTTAGTTGAAGTCTTAGCCTGTCCCTAAATTTCACCACAGGTGTGCAACCATTAGCTTATGCTCCTTATGACTAAAAGCAATTTCACAGCCTTCTCCTCAGCTTTTCTATAGTGGTAGTGTGGACAGTATAGCACCAAGGACTGACTCCTAGTCTTGTATTAATCTTTGTTTTCCCAAATGAGGTACAAGAATTACAAGCTAAACTACTTGACTTTATACACCACACAGCAAAACAAAAGAAAATCTATCTCAGAGTATGTAATTTTTAATAATGCTCTGTAACAACTTAAAGCCTTCTTTAACCACTATGATGCAAAACCACTCATCTTACGCTACTCCAAACTGAAAGAAAACAAGGAAGTGAAGAAGTAATACCGATCAACCTGATCTGTGTTTTATTTTTGTCCTTTTTTTTTTACTTTACATGCTACTAATTTATTATTTATTATGATATATTTTGATGCCAACCATCCATCAAGGTTTGTAGTTTATGTTCAGATTAACCATGTCACCAAAATGTATTGCGTGAAAGCATAACAAAGAACAACTGTAACTGCAGAGGAAAACATGTATCATCAGTAAAATGATAATACTACATTTTAGTTATTGCATGTGTACCAAAGAATGCCTTACCTTCTCCATGTACTGTGAGCAATTTGACTCTTGCAATAAATTTGAAGCTTCTTGTTTATAATACTCCCCTGTTTCATTCAGAAAAGGACACTCAAAAATTTCCTGATAAAACTAGAAGGGAGAATTTTTTTTAAAGGACAAATAATGCATATACTGGTTTAACATTCAAAATTAAAAACATAGAATCAGAAATACGTATCTACCTTTAGGGGGAATTTTTTCTTATACTGTTCAACATGAACAAAGGAGTTAATAACCCCATGGATTACTTTCTGGTTTGGGTCTTCTCCACAGCGATCACTGAAATAGGCAAAGCAAACATTTATGAAAATGCAGGTATCTTGTGTAACTCATCTGCTAGCTGAATGAAACCAAATTGGATGAAAACATTTTCCAGTAAACTCCTCTGCTTAAACTGGTAAAATTGAAGAAGATTTATCTTAAAATAAAAAATGCACTCTTCTTTCTCTAATATACGTTTGAATTGTTGAGACAGTAATTCAAAAGCATTTACAGGTCATGAAATTTCCAAGTGTTTGCTAAGGACATAAGTGTTCCAAATTACATATTCTGAGCAAGTAGTTCAAAAGATACAGTAAGTTCCATCTTGTATGTGTAGCCTTTATTATATAGACTACCTTCACACTCTTGCCCCTGCCAAAAAAAATCCATAGCTTTTACCAGCATCACAATAAGAAGCATGCTATTTTATTTTCTGAATATCTACTATCTAACATGTAGATCTCAAGTGGAACAAGTAACACACCAGGCACCTTGTCACAATATTTAATCATACATCAGAAAAGGAAAACCTTATGTTTTCCAGTCAATTTCTTAGCTTCAAACCAGGGAGTTCAAGAAAATGTTATATTTTGTTCCATTCAGTTGAAAATAAAAGTAATTAAAACAAGTGTTTTGCATGCTAAAAACATTAGTGCTCAGTCCTTTGCAAAACTGGAAATAACAGACCTACACTCAGAACAGCAGGGACTTCCTCTTAAGACATGAAAAAGTTCTAAAAAAGACCATTTTTCATATGCACTTTGCAACAAAGTAAAAAAATATTCCCTAACTCCTAAGGTGTTAAGTAGAACTAAAATATGATTTACAAAAGTATATTTACACTTAAGGATAAGCACCCATAATTTCGAAGGTTTTTCTTTATAAAATACGTATGTACACATATATGCACGTATATAGAGTAAGAACTTCTACTTTACCTAGACTGCACTAAAAAGACAAAATGAATTCTCTATTAGAAACTTACGTTGGTATAGGAGAGTCATTTACATGACTGATTAAAAAAAAGGTAAAGCCAGCAAAAATATACTTGAAACTCAAGCCTTACCATATACCCATCTTGGCTGGGGTGCTGGGGGGAGAAGTAATTTTGCTCATGTCATTTGTTTTGGTTTGTAACTGACAAAAGCTCCAGAGGACGCCCATGAGCTGGGGAGATTTACCAGCACAGCCACACCAGCAGTCATCATACTACACACACCAGACCACCTTCATACATTCACAACACTGTTAATTATGGGTATTGCTTTCAAACACAACTGCTGTCTAAGATCTGAAAACTTAGGCTCATGGTGGGTGTTAAGAACTAGCTCTCTAACAGATTATGAGCAGTGACAGTATGGTTTACGCAGTTTCATCACCCATTATAAGTGAACTGAACTGACAGGTTCCATCAGGGGTGGTCTGATTCTTCTGCCCAGGGAACAGCAAGATTTCCTCTGGTTGTGGTAGCTGAACCAATAGAACAAATCTGAGTTTGGGTACACGTAATCACACCCTGCATCCTTGCCAACATCCCTCTAACAGGTCTGGTTTACAATGGCAGAGGCAGCAGCACAGAATCATAGAAGGGAAGAAGTGAAACAACTGCCCTGGACCTGGATGTAACTCCAGCCTGGAGGGGTCCAGGAGCATGGAAAGCTGCAGGATGCATGCAGACTGTGAACACAGTGCTATGTCATACAGTGCAAGAAGCCACAGAACTAAGAGTTTAGCATGTTACAAAGCAGGGCTCTAGCAAGAGACAGTCCAGCCTAGCTCTAACAGGCAGGGTTCTGGACCTGGAAAGGTACTGGTGACACAAACACAGGAAGCATTACTGCAACAACAGCTCCAGTCCCAGCTCCCCTCTGCTTGGTTCACAGGCCACTTCAGACCTTAGCCCAGGCAGATGGAGGAAGGGAGGGGGCAGCAATGGTCAGACCCAGGGGATTTGAAGGGCAACGTATCATTAGGAAAAAGCTGTAAAAGTAGAGGAGACATGCTCCCCAAAAGAGCTGAAAGGGAGGAAACAAGCTTTTGAAGCAGAGGTCAGATCGCATGAAGGTGATAAACGAAAACAAGTGCAGCTTCAGGATTTTATTTACACTAATAGTGCTCTGCTCCCAGGAATTTGTAATGCAAATGACTAGTTTCAACAAAATTTGAGAAGTTTCAAAGACGACTTTCATGAAAGTTGTAGTAGTAAGAGCAACTGCCAAACTAAAATGAAATAGGGGACTCCACCAAGGCAGAGTATCAAATGTACATCTTCCTTCTTGACAGTAGTCAGCAAGCAATAGGGATGCTTAGAGCTACGTAGCAGCTGCTGCACAGTTTGAAGCAGGGATATCACAGGATATCTGGGAGGATACGAGGGAATGATGATGTTTGGTGAGGAACATGGATAAAAACAAAGTGCTAGAAACACAAGTTCCACCAATTTAGGTGATGACAAGTTTCTTTTTTCAAAAAAAATGGAAAAAGTTACAAAACACAAGCTAAAGGATGTTGTGCTGCTTAATATTAATTCCATATTGTTCCTGTCTTAAGACTAAAGCTAACAGTGGATGTCCAACATGTGTTGTACAGTGTATGACTACTACAAGTTCAAAGAACATTTTTAAAATTTAAGGTACAAAAATAAATACTGGATTTATTAAAAGAAGATTCCATCATTCAAAAGAACTGCTCTGCTCTGTCAAACCAAAGGTCTTTTCAGGTCAATTAACTAGAGAATTCACTCTCAATTAGAAGAGCCCATTCTGAATACTTTTAAAAAAGATAACTTCCAATAACTTTAATTTCAAACAAATGGTATAAATAACGTATCAGCTTAGACAGGAATAGGTTCAGTTAGTTAGAAAGTGTTAGTTATCTTTAGCAGAGAAGCCTCTCCTGGTTAGTCTGTACTAATCACACTGTCATTTGAGATAGCACCTGAATAATTTCCAAATTATTTCTGCTTAAGAATTTCATAGATGAATTTTCTCACAATTCAAGATCTTGTCGGCTTCCTGTTGTGTTGGAACAAAAATGCTTAAGTTGATATTCAGCTTGCCTTGTAGGAGGAGTGCTTGGGCTAGAGGGAGGGGGGAGAAAGTGTGTTATATTCAGAACTCTATATTAACTAGTGCAGTCAGACAAGACAGACCTACATGATTTAAGAATTTCTGCCATTCAAGGGGGCTAACCCTGCTCCCTTTTGCTCAGTCACAGGCCTCTCTATCTCTCTTGCTTTGCTTTGGCACTCATCTAATTCTTTGCTGAATTGACTCATTGTGCCAATCTGGAGAAATAACAGCCAAGATGGTTTTCTGCCAAATTAGCAGTTGAGCTGGTTCACTAAGGGACTAGAGGAGCACCTAATTCAGCACATGAAAGGTAGCAGAGCACAGCCTGCTCTTTTTTGGCATCAGTAAACTCTTAGATCAGTTTAGTCATTTTGTTTAGCTGAACCACAAGTCACTACTTGTATTTCTTTATTTTCATGTACCAAAAGAAGATTGTTGTTATTTTTAATGTGTACTGTATTGCACAAGCTTATAGCTTCTAAAAGGTCAATGTGCTCAAAATTTTAGAATTCTCTAAAATTCCAGGTAAATACACTGATTTCAGGTAAATACACCTGAAAGAAAAAGCTGTGGCTCTGCTCCCCTACCTTTTCCAGTACAGTAATAAACACAGTTTTATATGCAGCCAGTTGACTACAGTGTTGATTATCAACTCCACATATCGTCACAGGCTATGCAAAATCTTCTTGCTAGAAGTAGTTCAACTGTCCCATCTACATATATTTTAGTTTCTTAGAGGTGTTGTAATAAACAGAACCATGCACACACAAGTACTATTAAGAAGGTATATTATAGAGCAGGTTTTAAGCATATATATGTATTAGTAATTTTATTACAATTTTTAGGTAATATTATGCCCATGTATATTCTTGCATCTCTGACAGATATAACTTATGGATATACATCCATTTCTCCAAAGACTTTGTTTAATCCCTGAACTCCTGAATACAATGCTAGAAGACATTTAATAGTCACTTGCAGCAGTGTCTTTAAATTTGCCTCTTAAAAACTGTATTGACCACTGAAATCACAGCAAAGAACAGCAACCAGCCTAGAGTTACATGCAAAGGTCATCCTCAGAATCCACACAGTGAACTCTAAATTTCATGATAGCAGGAAAAAAAGCTATAAGGAGTTCTCTCTCATATAATTCATTAAATGATATGCAGATCACAAAGTGGCTAAAAGAAACTTAGTATGAATAGTTATATGCGTATTTTGAGAAGCAGAATTGCATTAACTTCTTTGAGATCACATAAAAGAATACTTAATAAAGAAGGGGGGGAAATCCAGATCCAACTATCACAGACAATGACTCAAGTTTTATTTAAAATTTTCCAAATAGTTTAATTACAAATAATGTCAACTTGTTACAGTTTCAAGCCTCCTCCAAAGCCAGTGACAGCCTTGATCTAAACACCCTTGTGAGGTCTGCAGTCAGCCTCAAGGTAAATACACACCATTACTCTTAAGAGGCATCAGGTCTCTGTTGAAAAAGGTTTTTACACACATTTCCACTCCCACCCACCAGTGAAATACACACATCAACTAAAACAAGTCTTCAGTATTCCTGTGCCTGATGTAACAACAGAGAATTTTCTTCACAGTCAATTAGGGAATCCTCCTTTAATAAAATAAATTGTTACAGCATAAATATATGGATAAAGTAGTATCAGCCCTGGTTACAAAGGCACTACAGTTTAACAACTGAAAGCAAGTAAATACTTCCTGGTCTCAGAAATGCCATCCAAGACACATATCACTTGGGAATGAAAAATTAAAATAAAATCTTAAAATTATGTTTTTAATGCCTTATAAATAGTTTTTATCTGATCAAATGCATGTCAAAGGAACCTCAACCAGTCAAATTACCTCTCTCAGTTTACTTACACTAGTCTGGTCAATTGAGTAATCACTTAAAAAACCCAGTCATCAGCAACTCCAGAGCTACGCTATATAGCAGAAGAATTGTAGAAACTGATGGAACTTAAAACTATACACAAGATCTGTAGTAAATCTCAGTATTTCTGTTTATGTATAAATAAAAGGGTCCTATAGGAGTTTAACAGAAGTTTTAAATCAAAACTTGAAAAGTCTCAAGCCCTGTAGCTACCAGGGTTTTGTTTAGAAGGTTACTTTGTTTAGAAGTAAAAAAAAAAGTATTCAGAAATAAAATAATAATTTCCCCTCAAAGTGCAAAAAAATAATTATTTCCGTTTCCTTCAAGTAAAGAAGCAGGACTGTTAAGTGAAGCACTCATCTGAACAACAGAAACCCACAAGCCTGGTCTTCCTGGCAGATAAGAAAGAATTGTTCTGGGTCCCATGCAAAGAAACAGTTTCTCTGGCTTTGGCAAATCTTTGCCCAAGGCCTGGTCCTTAACTTTACTGAAAGCACAGAAGCCACAAGCAGTCAGCATCAGGTGGTGAAAAAGGCAAGAGGCATCCTATGGGACCTGGAGAATTATTCTAATTCCTCCCCAATCTCATTGATAAGAAGGAAGAAGAGTTGCTGAAACAGAGAAGATCACTACCCTGAGGCTACAGGGAATGGACTGTTTTCTTTTCAGAGCCTTTTTCTACACATGCAAGCCACAAATATGTAGCTACAATGAGAAAAGCTGATAGACCATCATCATTAGGTAAGAAGTTACCTTAACAAAACCAAACACAAAAGAATCCACTCAAAATCCACAGACTTTTCCAAGTAAAAACAGTGCAATACCCCTCCCCCACACTATGTTAAAACAAAAAACAATCAAACACTCACTTTTTTATTTCTCGGAGGAGCATCCGAATAAGGATGGCCTGCAGTGGTTCAATCATTAATTTTCTCCACATATCAAGAGCTAGCTGTCAGGACACAACACAAGTTTACATCAGTAAAAAGTACAAACCCAAACAAATAGAAACCCAATGAAATCCAGAGCAATATCAAAGATGACATCGTTTCTCATTCAGGATTTTAAAAATTAAATTTTTAGATAACCTTCCTCCTTTTTTAATTCTTTTGTCATTCTCCCCTCCCCACCCCCCTCTACCCTGCCTGTTCTCAATATATTAATACATTATTTTCACATTTTTCTTCCACAACATCTGACTGCATTTGGATGAAGATCACACAGATCTGTACACTAGTAGTGTCAGACATAGAATTTCTAGTCAGGCAGTATCTAAATGCGTCCTTCCCAGCCTACATTCTTCCTACACAGCTGATAGAACTGATTCATTCCTTGGTTCCACTCCATCAAGTATTCTCAAATGCATATAAGGACCCTAAGCAAGCTGGTTACAAGGGCAGATTTTGAGTGTACTTATGAACAAAACATCTGCACAGTAGTAGGTAAATAACACACCTTTCCACCTGGAGCACAAAATACAGTATTTCTAACAATGATGGCAAAATAAGCCTCAGTTGACAAAAGGGAATGTCTCCCAGCCCATTTGTCAGGAGTCAAAGATACAGAATCCTTTCCTCCAACACACAGAGAGTATCTCCAAACTAAGATGCACACAGCTTAAGCAAAGTCACTGGCAAGCTGTCTGACTTCAAATGGAATACAAATCACCTTCATATTACCATTAGCCACCCTACTGCTAACATATCATTAGAGGAATCAATCAAATGGACTCAATTATCTCAAATTCTTATGGTGAAGTAACTGCTTCCAAAATATACCATTTTTAAAAAACACACCTGCAATTGTTCAAATGAGCTTTTACATTTAAGTCAAAATCAGATTTAAAGCCCAAAGGGGATAATGTGATCCCTCATATACACGTAATAACCACACATATAAGACCTCCAAAAACACCTACCAGTGAGTAGTAGATTGGGAAAAAATTACACTGCAAAATCTAGTGAGGATACAGAGAATATTGCTGCTAAGAAGGCTTTGACACAGCAGGTCATTAGCTTTAAAAATTAAAATATTAATCAGATATGTCTTAACTGAAAGCAGGCACGTAGCTATTGAATAGGTATCCAACCTGATCCACTCTGTGAAATAAATCTTCCTTTTAAATAGCAGACAAACTAATTTGCTCTGACCAGCTATTCAGAACCTGTGCTGAAATACAGGGTACAGAAGGCAAACCTGACCCAACTGCGTCATAAGCAGGTTAAAGAAGAGATAAAAGTTTGCTTGTAAATCAAAAGACAAATAATGTTTTGAAATCAAAGTTGTCCTAGGAGTGATTTTCACTGTCGTGCCTGTTACAGAGTAGTAGTAGAACAGTTAAGTTTCCCTAAGACAACAGGAACTGATCCAGCAGAGAACACTGAAAGAAGCCAGTTCCGAAGAGACAGAAAAGAGTGGGGGGAAAGAAAAAGGAAAAGAACTGACACCTTTTGTGCCTATGAGGTGAAGAGAATCAACCTCAGGTAGATCTATTCTGCAATGTGGTTTCTGAAATGTGGCCTCTAGCATGGTCCTTCTCACATAGGAGCTACCAATCTCAAGCAGATTCAAGTTTCCTGATGGAATTTTCTTGTCAAATAAACTACAGACAGATCAATCTGGTCAATCCAGCAACCCAATATATTAGTTCAAGACAGTTTTTCCTCTTTGAAGAGAGGAACTGACCTTACTTCAACTAGACTGGTAATACAGAACGTGGCAATTTTCTCCATTTTCCAGAATCTATTTCCGAGGGAAGAAAAAAACCAGAAGGCACATCTTAATTACCTTCTATTCAGGGCACCCATGGAGTTGTTGAAAATTCAGGAATCTGAAATTGGTGATAGGGGCTCGATTCAGAAAAGCAGTATCCTTCACTATGTATCCATAACATAAGAGAGGAAAGAAGCAATCTCTTGCAAGCACTGGCAGATTATTTTCACCAACTGATCTCATCCTCTGTGTTTCCTAGGACAACAATTTCTGAATGTCTGGAACACTTACAGGGATGATGAGCTGTTTGAAGCCATGCCCACACACTTCACATACGCACCTCTGGTCTTGTGTACGTACCTATTGTTACACACCCCAGAAGAACTAAGCAAGTATGTTCTTGTCTGAGGTTATTGAAAAGCTCTCAAAGCTTCATTAGCACATACGAGTGATGCTGAAACAGAAACTTCAATACAGACAGTACAGTTCTTCTACAAATGCTGGGCATTACTTCTGTAACTTGATGCTGAGACTGAAGAGAACTATATATAAAATAAACACATTTGCTCTTGGGTAGATAAAGGCCAGATAATTGAGTCATCTAAAAAAGGAGAAATGAAATTCCTTCCATTCTAAAGTGACAAACAACTGAAATACTTGGACTTTTGGTAAAGTCCCTTGTGCAATCCAGGGAATAAAAGATAGAATCCTACAGGAACTATCATTAAAGAGAAAATGCTTTCCAGAGACTTGATAAACTTGGTGAGTGCCTTGTAGGTCAAGAAATGTGAACTGGAGCAACGAATTCACCGAAAACAGTGCTGCAATTTAATACAAGAGTGTAGGACTCAAGTCTCCATAACTTTTCAGGACAAACCTAATCCTACATCAGTCATGAACAGAGATTAACTTTACTGCCTCAAACCCAAATTTTACCTCCCACTATTACAGATTACAAAGACAGTATTTATTAAAGAGAAATGGAAGGAGTCTTGCAGAGTGAGGTAACGAAAACCTCATTAGTAGAATTTCAGACATCGTCATCTGAACACCTTCATCAAAACCCAAAAGGCTGCCAGCTACAGTTTAAGAATCTTGATCCTCCCCATATCCTGCCCAAAAGATGAGCTAGGAACATATCCTTCTTGGAACAATGGCTGGGAAGCTAGAAGAAAAGTGTGCCACTGCCCTTCCATCCCACTCAGGATTCCACAAACATGAAAAAAATTGTATACTCAAAAGACCCAAGTTTATCAAGTCTGATGTTTGTTCTTCTTTGGTAAACATTAACTAGGGCAGAAAGCTACGGACAAAAGTTGCCACTACCATCCTTTGGGCAATACCTCAGAATGGAGAAGCACTCAAATGGGGAGAATTCATTAATACATCAGCATCACCCAAGAACAATCCCAGACCTATTCCCAGCCCCCAAAGCAGCTGAACTAACAGTCATTCACACAGGACTATGATTTACCTCTGACAATCATGGGAATACACTGTGCTAAACCTCAGTCTGAGGAACTAAGGAATAACATTTATGCCATTTTGAGATACCATAAACAGTGCAGCAATATGCACTTCCAAGCTCTGATAAGCCTTTAGAGACGCCACTAATAGCAAGCCTTGGAGACAGTGTAGATAGAAGAGAGAATTTCCTTCCCTACAATGCCTTGATTTAAAGCACATAATGTTTCTGGAGTTTATTTCAGTCCATCCCCAACCTGCCAGAGGATTAGCAATTTCAACTGGCAGTGAGTGCCCTCTTCATCAGCTGGGTCAGAAGCACAGAAGGTGCTTCCTCATGCATCACAATCTCTCCTTACTCTTAACTAAAGGCAACACAGATCTCCTGCTTCAAACAATGAAATCAAAGAGCCAGAACTGTAATCACTGACAGGTCAAGTTCTGACAATAAGGAAAAAAGCAGCATTTTCTCTAGTCTTCTAAAGCAAAAGAGAAAAGGTATTCACTTCCTACTGTAGTGAAAAAGGCAAATGTAGAGAGGAAAGGAAAAAAATAAGATACCAAAACATATAATGACAGAATAAATTCTCCAGCTAGCAGTGTATGTACATATGGACCCAAAGCAAACATACACACACAAGCATTCAAAAAACAAGTTGGTACTCAGCTGTACTCAGGACTGTGATTTTATCCTGATGCAGACTGAAAAAGTGTTTTCAAAATCTTTTTAAAGACATACTGAAGCACTGTATCTTAAAGAATTCTTCTTTCTTAACTGTAAAATTGTCTTTTTGCTTTATTGTCTTATACTTCATGGTAGGAGCAGTCATCAAGTGACAAACAACACAAATCCCACTTCTGCATAGTTGCTGTGCATGGAGCGAAGTCTCAGAATGTAGTCCTACTGCTGACAGGATTTTTTATTTTATAAGTATTTAAAAATTACTCTCAGCCTCTCCACTAGTAACTGTGACAACAGCCTTGTGCCTGCCACAAATTACTTTTTTTTTTAAAGATAAACCCTCCCTACATGACACTTTCGTGCACAGAATATCTACTTTTTCTTTCAAAATCTGAGTTGAACTGAAGTTCAAAACAGCTTGCATTAGAAAATAAGATGTGCAGAAGACTAATCTCAAAAAAAAAAGCTTTTGTACCTTGTGTCATCAAGAAATAGAAGCCTAAAAGTAATATTTCAAGGGTTTCCAAAACCAAAATTACTGCTTCCTCAAAATGTTTTCTTGATAGTAGTGTCACTTAATAATCCAAAGTGTGTTTGCCAGTTATCATATTTTAAAACTGAAATTCTCCAATAGTTTTCATATTTGCTTTTTTCGCCTGCCAGTATTTATCTACATCAAAACTGTATTCTCATTTTACAAAGGGTTCAGTGCTTACGCACTCTATAATATTCCTATTCTGTGACACAAAAAAGTAAAACTGTAAAAGGACAGAGCTGAACTTGCAGCACTTCTGACTACAGTTTATATCCAGCCCACTTTCAGAGATACCTACCTCTCCAATTTCCATCAAAGGTTCATTCATATCCACCCCTCCATAGCCATACTGAAGATCAGCTTCAGTCAATTTGTTCTTCTTAATAAACTGTGTGTTGAGGTACCTATAGAAATGAAGATATTCTAATCAAAACAGGAAAAGTTCTTTTTTTTTAATTGATTTGGAATTGTGGAATGTGTTTACAAAATATAACCCCCTTTAACCAATGCCAGTGCCATTTGTAGGAAAACCTGAAAAGATAAATTACCTTAATTTAAAAGACCTTACATCATATTAAAACAGTACAATGTTGGTAATTGAGAAATCAAACAAGAGCCTGCTATATGACTGCCAGCATTTTCTTGGTGAGCAATACACTTGTGTAGGAAACCAACCTATCTACATGCCATATTAACTCCTACATATACATGCAAAATAACTGCTAAATTCTGAGCAGTTGACTAGTATTAGATTGATAGTGGTTTATCTATTATTAACGACGGAAAAAGACTCCTGAGTATCAGATATTTTTAAGTTAAAAGTATTTTCTCTACCTCCATTATTTATTATTTTGCATTTCTCTCAGACTGAAAAACAGAAGTACTGTCAATTTTAAGAGGGTAAACTTTTGTCAGTTATGATCCCTGACCAGGTCATGATAACTAGCAAACAGCTAGATTGCAAATTTTATAGAGAAGAATTTGCAGAAATGTTATAAAAGTTAATTTTTTTTGTATTCAGTATTTACTATTATATGCATAGTTTTATAAATAACAGAAAATGGTTTCTGTGCAAGACCTGGGAAAACATCCCTCTTGATTCCCAGTATTTCCATAAAGTAAATATAACATATTTAAACTGCACCATTCTCCTTTCCCTGATGACTGGGAAAAATTTTAATATAGTTCATAACTACACTTACAATATTTCTTATGTTAGTGCTTAAATGAGACAACTGAGAATGTTTTTTTAACTTCTGATCTAACCAGCAGTTTTGAGATGCCCGGTTTCAGACACTGAAAACAGCCAGCTCTTGAAGAGATTCAGTGTTCAGAGGCTGCACCAGACTTGTGATGCCTCAACACTGGGCAGGAAGGCAAAAGCCAAGCAAAGGAGAAAAGGAGAAACACGCTGTGAAAACCTGTGAACTTGAAAGAATTTAGGACACCACAGAGTCCAAAGAAGGAAGACTTGTGACAGTGCAGTGATGACAAACTGGAATACATTGACCTAACCTACTTTTAGACTCTTACAGAGAACTGTAAACCCCTCTGCTATCATTGATAACCATCACAAACTGTAAATGCAGGTCTGCGCAGAAGGCTACAGGCCCATTGCCATACATAACCTGTAAGGATATCCAGAGGAGTTGGAACACCAGCCTTAAGCAGGCATGCTCCTTGATGGTACTTTTCCCAGCCTCCACCATGTGAACAAAGCCAACAGCTGCCAGTCTACTTTTTCTTGTTAAACTTGCTAAAAAGGAAAGCCTCATGCTCCCCTCACTCACACCTTCTCTCTCCATCAGTACATACAGAAAGAGAACCAAGACTAGCATAAAGAACTAAAAATTGCTATACATTGATATGCTGGTATTATTACAACTGCTTTTAAAAAAGACAAAGCGGAACAAAACAACAGCAGCACTATGTGTGTTTAGATTTTAGGATTTTATTATGAGCAGATTTTAAAAATTCTGGGTTTTTTTTCTTTAAATCACTTAATTTCAATTTGCTGGATAAGAAAATCCTCCAATTAATTGAAATAAAAGTACACAGACCAGATTTTTTACATCTATGAAAACAGTTACAGCACCAAGACACTGATAAGCTCTAATGTCCAGTATTGTTTTCATCTATTATTTTTATCATCAGAACTAACCAAAACAACTGAAGAAGGTTCTTTAAGATCAACTGTTTCTTATTTCATCAGTTTTATCACCAATATTTAGAGTCAAGCATATGTGGGATTTTAGTTTTCAAACTGAATCCAAATTTGTTTTCCTAGCAAAATGCACCCAGGAGAGTGGGTGAAAAAAAAACCAAATCAAAATCAACACCAAAGAAAGAAAACATTTGTCTCATTTGCCAATCTCGTGATTAGTCTTGCATTTTATGAATTTTGCTCAAAAGTGTCTTACATTTTAGTAGTGTTTCAAATAGTGCCTAGCAGGTTAGAAGCACAGATGCAAGCCTACTTAAATCTTAAAGGAATCTATTTTTAAATAACATTAAGATTACTAGCTGTAAAAATCAATCAGTTTTCATTGCTTGAAGAATTACACAAATTAGAACCTGGGATACAACAGAGTCAACTAATTTATAGTATTTTTTTCAGAGCAGGCATGGAAGTAAGAAAAGAACTCCAACCACTTTATAAAAAGCAGAATATCTTCTTAAGGTCTCCAGAAGTACTTTCATCCAAAACATTCTCTCAAAAAACAAAACATATCCCCTCCTTGCAGAAGAACCTCTAGAAGAACCTAATTCACTACAGGGTTGATTAGCACCAATACATTTGGCACTGCATCATCAGGTAGAACATACTAGTAATGAAAAAAGAGTAGGAACCATCTTAGATAACTTACCTGCTGAGGCATTATTCCCTTTTGCTCATGTTCTGCTACTATAACTATATTCTCTTCAAAACTGACCTGGGGCACATTCATCTATTGCCCTCTTTAAGCAACGTTCTTCAACTTAACCTGCAGATCACTGTAATAATTTCAAAAGTTTAACAACTCTTTTGCAAATCTTACCTGTATAAACAGTCCATATAGTCTGCCCCTTTGCTATACTCTTCCCAGTATCTGTGATACATAACCAGTACTTGTTCTTCAGCTTCCAGAACTCTCTGTGAAGGCACACCCCCACCCCAAAAATTAGTATGAAAATATCATGCATACTCAAAGTTATAATGGGATAATCATTTTGGAATAGCAATCACATATTCAGAATTGTTGCATTGTTGCAATGACCAGAAAACTAACATATCTTCACACTGCCAAGTTTTGGTAAACCAGCTACACCACCTGGAGCTGCTTTATTTTGCATTTAAAAACAACATCCTCTCTACTGTATTGTTTTCTATTTATCTTTTCAAAAGTACTTGCCTGAATAAGCATGGTTCGTATTTTTACATCATTCTAGTGGGATAACTTGCATAATTATTCTCTCATTAATACATCAGTTTTAAATACACTTAGCCACATGCACACTGGAGGAATTGCCTAACTATAACCATTTAAAATCAGTGTGCCTTACTGGATAGACAAGCCTTTATACTTACCAAGAATCATGCAATAATGCAAGTTTACCAAAGCACAGATACATATAAACATAAAGCACTTTTGAAGTTCTGCTAATCTAGGCCCATATCTTTTGAAACGTAAGGTAATCATCAACTAAAAAGTTGCTGATGTACTCATCTTCTCAAAATATTTATACTTCAAAGAAATAAGTTCAACAATTTCAACTAATTATTACGATTTGTGAGGGAGAATATGATCCTAGGAACTCAAGTATAATTCCCTCTAGAGTTTGTAATTATAAAATCTGGCTCAAGCAGCAATGAAGCCTATGCAAAAAATGGGAAAAAAAGTAAAAAAAATGTAAAAGAGGAAAGCTGGTAGACAAAACAGAATTGAGAATGCCTTCTGCTGCAGAATGCATTTTGCAAAGCTTTTCCAACATTATTTCAAAGACAAGTGGTGGATGGCCAATTTAAAACACGGATGTGTGATTTCCGCTACTTCCTGCTGCTTCTACTGTGCTGGCACCTGCCTGATTATCCTAAGTGAGCTCATTCAGCTCACTAAATAATGAGGGAGAACTTTTTTGGCAGAGCTCTCTGCTAGTTTAGTGAACTGATTTAGTCTAGCAAAGTGTCAGAATTATCCTCTCTGCAACCAGTGGAACTACCCACTAAGACACCCAGCCCACCTTCTCAAATACTCAGGTACATAAGCTCAAAAAATAGCACCAAGCCATTTAGCAGCACTATCCAGAATTTGCAGCACTCTATCCCCTCTAAAGACACTAAAGGCAGGTAGACATCTTATTTAAATCTACTTCTCTTTTTATTGATATACAAGGAGACACTGTTCATCCATCCTATCTACTCAACATGACGAACCATGATTGTGATGAAATCCGCTGTCTTAGCTGATGAAACAGAAGTTAACCCACAACTACACAGGTATACAAATATTGTTATTTGTCATAATAAATAATTTGCCATTACCTTCTCCCCTCCCAAGCATTTTTGTTATTTCCCCCATATTTCAGAAGTTGGTTGGGTTTGTTTTAGCAGAGTATATACAATCAGTTTCCAAGAAGGTGCAGTAGATACTTTTCTGTTGAAACAGAAGGCTAACAACAAACTACAGTACCTTTGGAAAATTAAGACATTTCTGTAAATTGCTTGATAACAAGCATTCAACAAAAAAGAAAGAACTTTTCAAACCAATGAATGTATTATATAAACTGTAACCATTTGCTTAAAAAGAAAATTCTTTCTTTAGTGTTGCATAAACAGAGATCTATAATATTATGTTGTGTGATATGTGTTACATACACCACATATATAAGTATTGTGTCTCTGGAACTGTCACCTGCGATTTAGTCTCATAAAAATATACAGACAAACCCCCTTCCTGAAGTCAAAAAAGAACAAACAAAACCTACATGCCCACCAGTAACTGTACATGTTACCTTGTGCAAATGGCGTACGTGATTTTCCAAAAAAATTTTAGTCTCAGTATAAAGTCTCTCTCCAAGAGGTTCAGGATAGGCCACACACAAAGCATAAATGTCTCTGGGCTCAAAGTCAAGGTTGGTATTAAAGTGTGAAAACATATCAACAAAATTTAGGATTTACAGAACCCTTTTTTCTCACACACATGCAGTTTAGGTGGGTTTTGTTTTATAGTCAAGCAAAACAGATAAACCGGATCATTTTCTGAATTGGTGTAAGCACTAGTTTGGAAGAATTTAAGTTTACAGCATTAATACTAAATTTTAAATAGTGGATGATGAGGGAATGTTAGAGCTAAGATCCTGAAACTTCTAGTAGCCCCACACTGATGGGGCTTCTACCACTTATTTGCCATCTACGAATAATATACCATTATCTCAAAGTGAAAAAGCAGCTTTCGTGCACAACTCTTCCTCTGTATTTGCACCCAACATGAACTGAGACTCTTTTCATATAATGGAAAGAAGCTTTAATTAGGTTAAGAATGTGATTAGGCAAGATACAGAGCAGAGCAAACATCAGGTGAAGCCAACTTCAAGCCTTCCTTCCCAGAGTCCAAAACAATTTACTGTCCCTGCGTTTTGCCCCCAACTCCACAGGTAAAACAATTTCGGGGGACACTGAAAATTAAGTAATCACAATGGTGGTGTGGATAAAAAAAAACCTGTTTCATTTTTAACCATTATTATAAATTCAGTAATCCTGTTTAGATCACAGCCACACAAAACAGTTCTACTTGCTAACTTAAAGCGGCAAACACTTATAACCCTTAGGCTCATTTTCTCCTTAAAGTACCCTGCAGAGCTACGCCTTTGGTTTGCAACATTTATATCAAGTTTTAAGAGTTGCTTGATGCTTTGTCAGGAAGAGAATTTATGATTATGAATTTTGCTTTCAGAGAAGTCAAGCAAGGATTAGGTCAAGCTTCACATGGGGAAATAAACTAATTCTGAAAAAAATTAGTTTAAAACGTCATGCTTTTCTACTAAACCAAGGCATTAAAAGACCAGCCATACCAGAAATACACTTTATAAAACCAGTCATGGTAGAAATAATGATTTAGTAGATTAATTTAATTAAAGGAAGACATAAGATCTGCTTTCCTCTAGTTTACCACAAAAAAGCACATGCCCATGAAAAAGGAGGTAAAGGACACAGACAGCTGACAGCTTAGTCTACAGAGCAGTGTCAAGCTCTCATCTCACAGTTTTCTCCAAACGCATGTTTAATTTTTAATATACTCAAAACAAATATATACTACCAAAAAAAAAGAATCATAGAATCAGCCAGGTTGGAAGGGACCTCTGAGATCATCAAGTCCAACCCTTGATCCACTACCGCTGCGGCTGCTAGACCACGGCACTGAGTGCCACATCCAGTCTTGTCTTAACCTCCAGGGACGGAGAATCCACCACTTCCCTGGGCAGCCCATTCCAATGTCTGATTACTCTCTCTGTAAAGAAATTCTTTCTAATATCCAATCTAAACCTCCCCTGGCACAGCTTAAGACCATGCCCTCTTGTCTTGCTGATAGTTACGTGGGAAAAGAGACCAACCCCACGCAGCTCCTTTCAGGGAGTTGTAGAGAGTGATGAGGTCTCCCCTGAGCCTCCTCTTCTCCAGGTTGAACAGCCCCAGCTCCCTCAGCCTCTCCTCACAGGACTTGTGCTCAAGTCCCTTCACCAGCCTAGTTGCCCTCCTCTGGACCTGCTCCAGCACCTCAATATCCTTCCTGAACTGAGGGGCCCAGAACTGGACACAGTACTCAAGGTGTGGTCTCACCAGCACTGAGTGCAGGGGAAGAATCATTTCCCTGGACCTGCTGGCCACACTGTTCCTGACACAAGTCAGGATGCCATTGACCTTCTTGGCCACCTGGGCACACTGCTGGCTCATGTTCAGCTTCCTGTTAATCCAAACTCCCAGGTCCCTTTCTGCCTGGCTGCTCTCCAGTCACTCTGTCCCCAGTCTGTAGCGCTGCATGGGGTTGTTGTGGCCAAAGTGCAGGACCCGGCACGTGGCCTTGTTGAACCTCATCCCATTGTTATCAGCCCAACTCTCCAGCCTGTCCAGGTCCCTCTGCAGAGCCCTCCTGCCTTCCAGCTGATTGACACTCCCCCCCAGCTTAGTGTCATCTGCAAATTTGCTGATGGTGGACTCAATCCCCTCATCTAAATCATCAATAAACATATTAAACAGAACTGGGCCCAACACTGATCCCTGGGGGACACCACTAGTGACCGACCGCCAACTGGATGCAGCCCCGTTCACCAGCACTCTCTGGGCTCGGCCCTCCAGCCAGTTCCTGACCCAGCACAGAGTGCCCCTGTCCAAGCCATGGGCTGCCAGCTTTTTCAGGAGAATGCTGGGGGAGACAGTGTCAAAGGCTTTGCTGAAGTCCAGACAGACCACATCCATAGCCTTCCCCTCATCCACCAGGCGGGTCACCTGATCATAAAAGGAGATCAGGTTGGTCAGACAGGACCTGCCCTTCCTAAACCCATTCTGGCTGGGTCTGATCCCTTGTCCATCCTGTAGGTGCTGTGTGATTGCACTGAGGATGATCTGCTCCATCACCTTGCCAGGCACTGAGGTCAGGCTGACGGGCCTGTAGTTTCCCGGGTCCTCCTTCTGGCCCTTTTTGTGGATGGGTGTGACATTCACCAGCTTCCAACCATCTGGGACCTCCCCAGTGAGCCAGGACTGTTGGCAGATGATGGAGAGAGGCTTGGAGAGCTCTTCCGCCAGCTCCCTCATCACCCTTGGGTGGATCCCATCTGGTCCCATAGACTTGTGGGGATCCAAGCAGCTCAGTAGGTCCCTATCTGTTTCCTTCTGGATTTCAGGGGGGCTGTTCAGATTCTTATCTCTTTCTACAAGCTTCAGAAGCCAGCTGTCCTCAGGACAACCTGTCTTACTGTTGAAGACTGAGATGAAGAAGGTGTTAAATACCTCAGCCTTTTCTTCATCTTTGATAACTATATTCCCACCCATGTCCAGTAAAGAATGGAGGTTTTCCTTGCCCCTCCTTTTGCTATTGATGTATCTGTAGAAGGACTTTTTGTTATCCTTCACAGAGGTGGCGAGATTCAGTTCAAGTTGTGCCTTTGTATCTCTAATTTTCTTTCTACATGACCTAACTATATTTCTAAATTCTTCCTGAGTAGTCAGCCCTTTCTTCCATAATCGGTAAGCTCTCTTCTTTACCCTGATTTCTTTCAAAATCTCCCTGTTCAGCCAGACAGTCGTGTTCCCCACCAGCTTGCCTTTCGGCACACTGGGACAGCTTGCTCCCGTGCTTTTAGAACTTGCTTCTTCAAATACCTCCATCCCTCCTGGACCCCTTTGTTTTCAAGGGTTGTTTCCCATGGCACACTCTGGACTAGTCTTCTGAATAGGTCGAAATCTGCCCTCCAGAAGTCCAACGTAGAGGTTTTATTGACAGCCCTCCTTGCATCCCTGAGTATTGAAAACTCTATTATTTCATGATCACTGTGTCCCAGATGTCCACCAACCACCACATCTCCCACCAGCCCCTCTCTGTTTGTGAACAGGTCTAGCAGTGCTCCACCCCTGGTAGGCTCATTTACCAGCTGGAGCAGGAAATTATCCTCTACACACTCTAGCAATCTCCTAGACTGCATCTTCTCTGCTGTGTGGGGTTCCCAGTAGACATCCGGCAGGTTAAAGTCACCCACGAGAACGAGGGCTGGTGATTTTGAGACATCCACCAGCTGCTTGTAGAATAATTCATCACCCTCATCATCCTGGTTGGGTGGTCTGCAACAGACTCCCACCAGGATATCAGCCTTGTGGGCATGATGTAAGATACTGATGTAAGATAACTAATCAGAAAAAAACCCCTTCATTGGGCAACTGGAATCTCAGAGAGCCCCACCAGAATCTAATCTTGTGTAAGTTATTTCATCCACATAGATCATCTTTATCAGAATTCTTCTTGGAAAGGCAAGAATTATTAAATAAAAACCCCAACAAACAAAACAGGCAACATTCACTGCTTTGTAACAGTAACTAGAATTGCACTGCAATAGCTTACAAAGCTGTAAGCAATAAAATATAAAAACCCCTATTAAATTAATAGTGAAGAATGAAATGGTTTTTTTAAGACATTATAAAGAACAATTGTTCTTTACACTTTCCCCTCTCCAAGAAATTTTCTCAGTCTAAGGATGGCTGGTAGTCAAATGCATCCTCAACACAATTCAGACCACAAGCCTCTTCACTATGCAAAGATATCTTTGAGAAAATAAACTCCAGAATCAGAAATCTTTGTAAGCTACTCACAAGCAAAGGGAACTTGACTTTTTTCTCTTTAGATCCACAACTACACTATCTGAACCACCAAAACTATAATGGATCTCTACTACAAAAACAATGTACTTCAAATTTAGAGAAAAGATGCAGTCTTCACCTCAACAGCACAAGAAAATAGTAACAGAAGTTTATTTGAAAGCAGTAAACAAATATCTCTGAATTAATCTAGCCTCTGTGCCCTAGGCTTCTGCTAGAAGTCTGGATGACTTGACTGTTGTAAACAAGCTTCTTAGTTGTAATAATCCTATTTAAGTATGAAAATAATATCTGTACTCCCTCATGAAAATGCACATCTTCCAAACACGCCTTTCCTTACTCTAGAGAAAAAATTTTCTTGCAAGCAAAGAAAGCTGAATCTGTTATTCCTCCTTGACATATGCCACTCTGTTTAATTTCAGCAGGTATGCAAACTAGGAGTCTAATCACAGAAGCACTTAACAGGCAACTCACACCTTTTTCTGTATCCACCAAACACTAAAAAGCAACACCAAAGGCGACTTGCTGGGGCATTAAGCTTTTTTGAATTGCTACAAAAGGTATCATGAGACTGAAATACACATTACAGAGTAACTTTGCTACATTCTTGCTCTATTTGTACTAGCTCCTTTATCTATCTTTCAGTCCAGAATCCAAACTTCAGTGTCATGTCCAAAATGTTGTGAATCTCTTAACAAAAAAAATAACCTCCGAGGGGAGATGAATCATTAATCCTCACTGGTATTTTACTCCATACACTTAAAGCACATTTTTCCTGTGCTGCCATTCTTTAGAAGACCAGGAAGAAGCCTTTACTGTTCAATAATTTAGCTTTAATGGTGAAAGCCATCTGTCCTTCCAGTTCAGCATGTAGTTTTGGAGGGTGAGAAAGGAAGCTGAAGCCAAACTGCTGCTTAAGGGCCTTCACTCTGGGCTGAGAACAAGAATATCAAAAGCCTTATGTGATTTAAGTGCTTTGGCTGTTGTTATTTGAGAGGCATTACCCAAACCTAAGCACTTCCAAACTAAGAAAGAACAACAACAAAACTACTATCAACCAGAAAATACTATATGCATGGTCATAAAAGTTCACAAATACTGAACTCAGGGTTAAAAAAGCATCTAGGTAAGACCCTATATTAACAGAAGGTTTTGAATAGATCTTCTCTAGAAGACCAACTCAGAGCTTTGGGTAAATTTTCAATTGTTGGTCTTCTTCCATAACAGAATCAAAATTCACAGAGGACTTGAGGACTCATAGTTAGAAAGAATTGTGATCATGTGAACTTTATTTACTCTTCCTTCTCTTTGGGCTGATTGTTTTGTTAAAGACACATGTTTAAGTTTCTGGTTTACCACAGAATCCTTGTAAAACAGCGAATTAAGAGGAAGGAGAACAAACACGCAGAGAAATGAAAAAAAAAAAAAAGCAGGTGGTGATGCTGCATACTCTTAAAATAATTCTATTTGCAGTACAGCTACCATCCTCCCTGGGTACTGTCCATCTTATTTATTTGGTGGTGGAAAACCCAGGACAACAACAGGAAGAGCCTGATGTTCTACCTGTTTGAAAAAGTTCTAAGTAAAAAGTAGTTATCAAAGCACAGATGAACTACCTACCACTCTAACCAAGCTTGAGCAGCCTCTTAACTTAAAGAGCACTCCCAGGTCTACTGAACAGTTAGCAGCAAAGTCTAGAAAGTTATACAACATATTCACAATAACCAAATTATTGTAAATAATATCTCAAATAGAGACGTAACTGTCACTTGTTTTCCAGACAATGAAACAACTCCATACACAATTCTTTCTGCTGAGAACCTTAAAGGAAATCTGAAGGTCAAAGGTGTCTCAAGATGACTCACTGTTTAAATAAAGTGACATATTGTCTTTCAAGTGATCTTTTCCAGAAGATTTTAACTCTTACACAGTTGTGGTTCCCAGCTCATTGCCATTCAAGAATTTCAAGTTTGAGATAAAGGATTTATTTAAAAATAAGCTACCTTTAACAATAACATTACCATAAGTTACAAAGGAAACACTATATTCGACACAAACAAGTTCTGGGGAACTAATGGGGCAAAAATTAGTTCTAGAAGTGAAATATGCACAGTACAAGCCTCTCATCCCTCAATACTATTAGCCTCCATACTCAATTTGATCTCAGCTGTCTCAAGCAGCACAAGAGAAAGCAAACACTTCATAGAACACGTGTGTACAGATGAAAACTGATTCTTTGCTGTAGCTTATCCTTTGTTTCCACATCACTGTTTCAACCACACAGTACAAAGATCAACTGATACCACAATCAACCAAGTAACCTGTCTGAGTTTCATTAAAACACAATTCAAATAATCTGGGACAGATTATTTAAACTGTGCTTATTAAGCAACCTGAAAAACAGAGTTAATACGACATTTCCTTTAAAATCTCTCTAAGTGTCTAGAAACAGATTACTCCAATTATATTGAATTTAACTGAGAATAAGAAGTTAACAAAGAACAAGATGACATATTTTTTAAAGGGTAAATCTACTTAAAATACATCATCAATACTTTAGGTCTCTTTATATATAAAGCCTGGAAAAAGCTTTCACACCAGCTGCACAGAACTACCACTTTCACCCAGTTGTTGAATACCCAGTGAGCAGTTTGTGTTAAAACACAGAGTTTGGTTACAGGAAGCAGAAGTACTAAACAATCAACATTCAAGCTGGAAGTTACAAGTCACACAAACTCCTCAGGCCACTCAGCCATAGACAATAAGCCAAAAGGGTCATGTCTGTGCCAAATCAGGCACTAATAGTACCACTTTCCAAGGACCATAATTAAGAGATGATAGTAAGTAAGGTCTTAAGAATTACATGCCTAATGATTCTTCCCAGACTGCTTCCTGAGTTCACTATTCATAAGCATTCCTTTTCTGATGTTCAATCAACTGGAGTAAATCCCAAAAGAGGATCAACAGCAGACTTGTGTACAAGGTCTCCACATAAGAAGTTCTAAGTGAAACAGTGTGACAAGAGGAATCAATTCAACATCTCATGCAACAATTATTATTTTATATTTAAATCTATTTTAGGTGCCCTTGTCTAAATGTTTAGAATTTTAAACTACAGAATTTAGCCACTTGTTGAAGACTGAAATATTAAATCCTCAAAAACTTCTTAGAAAGAATGACTGTAGCTCAACTTGTCAGCACATAAGCACACAACTAATTAGTTCAAAACGTCTGAAAATTCTGGAGTCACTTGAACTTGACTCCAAGACAAGGTGACGAGCCATGTCCCCAGAAATTAATTACCAAGTTTTAATATGAAAGAGCTCCTTAAAGATTATTGCACCACAATAAGGGTCCACAAGAACTATGAGCAACTAAATTCTCCATTAAAGTATACACATGTACACAGTCAAAACACAGGCACATGGGAAAGCAATTCTGAGAAAGGGTAACATGTTCAGAACAAGAAGAGATTTAGAGTCAAGCTTCTGCACACAGAATAAGCTTGTGTTGTAAAAATCCACATATAAGAATCTTCTCAGGAGTTTCTTTTTTCACCCACAAGAATTAACAAATCAATAAATAAGTCTAAATCATTCTTCCCCCTTATAATTAAACCAAACTCAGTATAATTGCTGCAGAACAGGTGCAAAGCCTCCTAAAATTGTCTAATTATTCACCACACTGTAATGGCTAATGAATACATAGACACAGAGCACAGTATAACTGGTTAGAACAGTTACACTTATTTTAAAAGAAGTTAACTGCAACTTAAACCTTGTAAAAAATTACAAGTCCATTTTACAGATAAAATGCAAACCTTTCACTACAACGATACAGATACAGCTCTGACTTGAACTGCAAGACCATTTGATCACAGAAAGAGTAATTACTTTTAATCATGGCTTAACTGTAAAGAATAGAGAGGTTATGACAGTGGAGGGAAAGGAAGAAGGCTTTTTAATAAACCCTTGCTATAGAAATGTCTAATATGCTAGTCATCAGTACAGACAGAAGTGCAAAGGAGAGGCAGAAATCTTTACACAGAAAAACCTCACTATTCCCCACACTGCAAATTTAAAGACGTGCATTCTCTGTCCTTGGTGTTTCCCCTGCCACATACACATTTAAACAAACAAGAAAACCTCATTATCAGAATAGGGGACGTTCAAGGCCTGCACTTTTGTGAACAGCTATAGCATAAGCTAAGTAATAGAGCTACTAAAAGTGACTAAAACTGAGACTTTTTGTCAATATGGTGACTTTCATATAGAATACTTCCCAAATACACAGAATTTTCCATCCCTTTCAACATATCCACTGATCTTCAGGCTTAATAACAGGTAGAGCCCTACAACAAGCTTCTGATCAAGATCACTGAAATTGTTGTGTAGCACGGGCTTCCTCTGTGCTAAATACATCATATGAACACATTAAGTCAGATTTTTCACTTAAAGGATACGAGAAGCGATCATTCCACGTTGCTCTTTCAACATAATCCAACATAACAACAGCTTTAATCGTCGTTAGAAGTTTGTTCCATGTTTCATCAAAGTCAACTACTCGTGGTTTCAAGGACATTGTGGGGCTTTAGTGTTAATCTGTAGAAGAATTAAACTTGTCAGACAACATTGGACAATCATTAAAAAAATATATACATTTCCTTTAAATTTTTTAATTTAAACTTTGCACAGTGTCACACCACCATGACAGAGCAACGCCAACACCCACCCCTGCTTCCCCACCCTCCAAAATTAAGCTCACAAACTCTTGTTTTTAATGTTATGGAAAGAAACATTCATGTTGCACAAGTAGCCTACAACATAACACCAATTAATCTAACAACATCACGCCTCATGAAGTTCATTGTCTCACCAAGCTGTCCATTTAACAGTGCTATGTGAAGATAACAACTGTCCAGTAAATTCTTATTTGTTCAATTATATGCAAAGCCTGTTTAAGCTGTATCTAAGAAAATCTTGGGCAGGAACACACTGAACTATTACCAGAGTATCTGAAGTTACCACTGTCAGTTTTTAGCCTATGTTCACCTCAGGTTTTCATGTGACATTTTTGGTGCTACATTTAAAAAGCCACAAAAGCTCAAAGCTTTGATCAGGATGGCAAAAAGACAACATATCTAAACACAGAGCAATATGTAGAGTTTGTGTAGCTTACTGCACTACACAGTAGGACAAATCCTGAAATCTTTCAAAGACATGGCTTCAAAATACAGAAGCTGTGTTAATAATTTCATATAAAAAATACTGGAAGAGATTTACTGGAAAAAGAAACCCTCAGCATTAAATTATCGAAATAAAACCAGGGAAAAAGTAAGGTGATTTTAAAAAAAAAAGAGACAACTGTGAAGGCCTCTTCTTTGTTTCCACTAGCCTCTGTCCTATGCACCTAATCTAGAAAGGACCTGATGTGTGACATTCCACGCACAAAGCAAGTCTAGTTCCTGCTCAGAAACATGACATTGTAAGACTAAAATAAAACGTGGAAAGAATATTTCTTCTTTCATTTTAAATACATGAACAACTAACTCTTGTCTTCCCAAATCTTCAAGGTCAGAAGGGAAAACAGAAGGCTAGTGACAAGCAGACTTTGAACACAAGAGGCAGACCTCTGTAAGGAAAAGAATCTAATGTCATGCTACAAAACCATTTAGCAACTAGCTTACTACCTTAATCACTACTGGCTCTTGCAGTGTAAAGAACTTCTAAGTCTAAGAAAAAAACCCAATAAAATCAGACATAACTTTTACCCTGCATGCATACAAAACACCCCCTCGACTAACTAACCAAGCTCCTCAACTGCTGTTAATGTTGTTATATTTGCAACATGGTTATTACTTCAAGCCCAGTATGTCAGTAGCAGCTTACTTCACAGAAAATCAGTGAGAACTGAAAAAAGGGGGGAAGGGAGAAAGTGATAGTCTTCAAAGAGCTCTAATACCATTATTCTGGAAAACACGAGAGTATTTTCAGCTGAC